CACTATTAAGATTCTGCAATCAACAACCTTAAAGGGATTTAAGACCATTTAATGCATTTCCTGAGGAAAAATGGAGAATATTTAACACAGTCCTGTTTGAGCCGTAAAATATAGCCCTAGCAAGTTCTACAGAATAAGAAATACCATTCTACTTTGGAAGTCAAGAAAAAAGAAACAACCCCTAAATGAAATGTGTTTCATAAACGTAAATTTGTCTAGATAGTGGAAAATACAGAACTCAACCGAATACTTAAAACAACAATCATTAAAACTGCAACTATAGGCTTTTCTGGTCAGATGAAGCAATACAACAAAATTGACATGTATACCACTCAGAGAACATGTTCAGAAGCAAATACCTGGCTGAAGGACTCCGGAACATCTGCGGTGGTTTTTAAAGTCATATTGAAAATGTGATATTGGTTGCTAGAGAGCAGAATGAAGTGTAGATGCAATTAAGTCATCCATGGTTAGTAAGTGGTGGCTGAAAGTTGATGGAAATTATTAGTATAACTAGTTGTGTACCCGCGCAATGCGGCGGGAGCCGTGAATTTTAACGATTTTAAAGCTTCAGTGGTTTTGTTAGAGGAGATTTAAACAATGATATAACTTATACTTGATCTTTACATATTAATATAATTTGAATAGATAAGAGTTATGGTTCCAATTACAGTCTATCGATAAAAAAAATTATATGATATACAATAAACAGTTGAATTAGATCAACTCCAATTAAGGGGCCATTTATTAAACGATTACCTAGTAAACGCTTATTGGACCATAAAAATGGAGTCTTACTCGATAACTCAACCTATTTTACACTCCTTTCATAACTCAATTTGGTATAACATACACTACTTAGGTAAACAACTCCACAAATATGTTCTTTGATGTTTAATCCATTAAAAAGTAAAATAACCCCTAAAAGTTTAAAGACAAATCGTTGAACACCAACAAGCAGTCAACAATCATCAAGCTTTCCAAAAGCTTTATCCATCAAAACATGAAATTTCTAACGGTATACATATCGTTTAAAATGGGAACTTCCACATCAACAAACCCTTGGTTGTCATAACAGATGCCATCTATATATTTAGGTGTAGGACCAAACATGTTTTACAGAAAACCCTATAACATTGACAATTAGCAAAACTTTCCCCTTTGCCAATCAGTGTATAACCTTTTTTACCCGGCTGCCAATCATGTAGAACCATCTTTAAAGGGTGGACAATAGACAACTATTTTGTCCAAAATTGTTGGAATACTTTAAATTTTGTCAACCTTTCAAATTGAAAACAAATACTTTCTAGTCGCATGGGAAATTAAAACAATTAAATAAACTGAGAGCAACGACAAATCGAGAAGCATCTGCACATGAAATCTATAAGCAGAAACACATATATAAGAGAGTTAAAGTAGGATTTAAGGCCTACTGGTAATTCTATGAGATTTTGTAAACATGGATGAAGCAGTAATTAATTTAAAAACTAAAAAAGGTGCTTAGATCAACCAAAAGTGTGCACCTTGTTCATAGATCTGAATCTGTCATATTGTTTAATACTTTATACCTAAATATAGAAGGAACAAATATACCTATTGATATGTCACCACATGGAAGAAACAGATGAATATATTTTCCAGGCAACACTAAAATCAATCAAATTTCAATCATCTTGAAAGTTATTCAATACCAGGATCCCTAATGTAATTTCTACACATGTAGATTGCCAACAATTTATGAACCTTCATGTAAGGATTAAGTCTTCATGGGAAAGATAAAACCCCAAGAAGATAGAAACCCAAAGGAAATGGTTAAAGATATTAAAGGAAACAGTACCTGCAGAAGAACCCAGAAGTAAGATCTTATCAGCAGAGAGATTCAGGGATGCCCATTACAGACAGCAGTCATATCTTTAATTTCTTGAAACCCTAAAGGAAGTCTTCCCCTATAAGATTGGATTAAACTGGAGTCTGATACTAAATTTTGGAACTCAAAAATGAACTCAAAAACGGGAGCAAAAACTCAGAACTCAAAGCTCAAACACTGGAATAGATGAAAACTTTCAGTGACAAAATTTGTAGACGGGCTGGCCTAGGTGTGAACATGGTTGGAAATGAGTGTATTGCAATAGCTATATACATCCAATGATCATAAGAACTATCACACTTGCTGGAACTTATGTACTTAACAAATAATTACCCGAAATTTGTGTGTATATATGTATATATTAGTGAAAAAAGCATCAAACATCAAAATGATGATATGCTTACTGCCATGGGACATCCCCAACAAGCATCCTGTCTCCTTCGTTATCCTCGTAAACCAACGTATTCGCAACTCCCGTCTAACAAGCCCGTGATCGCCTTTTCTTGATCTTGATTACCAATAACTTTAGTATCTTTTTGAGCTGTGACAACATTTAACAAACGATTTAAGTTAAAACATGAAAATAATGGTATAAAAAAGGACAAAATTATTGTTACATCATTCACAGAAGCTATTTTTTTCTATGTAAATACCCTTGTGTAAAGATGTGTTCCAATCTTACAGCGATTCATGTAATAGCTCAAACATTGTCTACTGTACTAAATATAAAACCTCAATATACCAAGCAGTCAGTGGCACATACAATTATATACACTACTACAAGTACTTTAAAAGAGGCATAATCCCTCCATAATGAGCCTTCTACTCAAACTGTAATAAATTTTAGAACTAAGTTCTCCAAAAAAAGCAACTATCGGTCCCGTAATCGGAAGATGAGTGGATGAAACGAATAAACAAGGTACGGTACAAAAAAGTTGAACCTTGTTGTTTCGTTGTGTGAGTCAATAAAAGTATCAGAGAA